GTTGTGTGCTGCCAAGGTGCTAAAGGAATGAAAGGAAGGGGGCTACCCTTTATATAGGGGTAAGGGTGCTTCCCAAAAGTGAGTGTGCTGCCAAGGGAGTGGGTGTGCGGCCGCACACCCATGTGTACGGCCGTACACTCCTCCAAGAGGTGTGTATGGCCCGATTTTCTCACTATTCAACACTCTGACTCATTCCTAAACTCAACCTTGGTTATATACAAGCTTAGAACACTTAAATGAACCCTTAAATAGCATCAGAAATCAATAAAATAAGTTGAATATCGATTGAATTGACTAAGTGTACAAGATTGAAGTTTTCGGGTTGTCACAGTTAGGGCATAAACACGTTCTAATTGTAGCCAGAGATCTCGTGAGGTAGTACCCTGAACATGATGGAAGGAAGCCTCTGAGATGGTAGAGATGATGATCATACGAACATGAGCATCGTTAGAAATCCAACGAGAGTAACTAGGATTGTCTGTAATTGTCTCTCCTGTGCCGACTTTGGGCTCAGGGCATGGTATTGTACCATCGACATAGCCGAACAGATTGTTGGAGACGAGAAAGGGTTCTAGCATGGCCTTCCAATACCCATAGTTTGTGGGTGTGAGGGTAAAAGCGAATTTATGAGAATTATGAGAAGTTTTCTCATGTGTCGTGAAAGCAGCAATGGTCGCCATGAAGTTTCTTGACAGATCGGCGATTAGGGTTTATCTTGCGTAAGAGGCTATTGTGAGGATGCCGCCAATAAGGTAAGGATTAACTTGGCTTTGATACCAAGTCAAACCGTGTATTATTATTGATATCTCAAAGATTACGATACATATGAACCTAATATATATAGGTTAGATAAATACAATTAGGTACCCTCTAATTTAAGTAAAATACAATGCAACACATAAACTTAGTCTAACAGATGTACACTTTATTTGGCAACCTAACCTCATGTGAGTGTAAATCGATTCACGAAAGAGCATTACGTCTTGCGAGTCATTCGAGCATCATTATTTTTCTAACAACTTAACTACACACTCACGAATGGTGTTCACGAAAGCTATAAAATTCACATTCACTCCACGGAGTGTAGAGACATACGAAGGTCCAACACTAGACCCATGAAGATGATTTTGAGTCTCCATGAGTATCTTCCTATCTGCACAATACATAAATTCCAAAGTATAGTTCCTACATTGTCTACTTGATAAAGCAAACAAACGTGAAAGGTTTACCGTGTTTTGATAGTTGTTTGGCAATATCCATAACAATGTCATATTGTTCACATGTCGTCCACAATTCCCAAACATTCACGAACAAGGGAAGTGTGAGGGGAAGTTCGTGAAAAATAAATTATGTGAAACTTTATGTGCCATTGATTCTTTTGACACCATTACTGAATTCTCCGATTACTTGTGACCAATGAAACCTAAAACCCTAGTTTATGTGTACGTGCGATGAAGGAGAAAAGACCTTATACCGGGGAAAGGTACGATCAGTCCACCTTTGTGCCTACCGGAGAAGAAAACGCCTAATCAACAATGGATGATCGTCGATCAACCATAATGTGAATTATTTTTTCCAACTTTTTTATAATATTGTTATTGTTGTTATGATCTTAACACATTATCATGGTGGGACACTACCAACTAAAATCCCCGATTTTATTTTCAGAGCAATGACGGGAGCTAAAGAAGACAATCGAAGTGACTCCGAAAAGAGAGTTAGATACTTAATTAACGTGTAGACGTTCTCTTAGCATATGTGAAAGAAAAGTTGGAATGGGTAACTAATAGTAAAAAGAACTAAAGTTGTAGAAAAGGTGGATAAATGGTGTGGATAAGAGGATTGACATGCTTATGGCGGAACGGTGTCGTGTTACGGATGTTATTAGAATTAAATTTGATTGATCGTGATAAAATATGTATTTGTTACATAACACCTCTAACCACATACAAACAAGGATAACGCAATCACAAATGTTACATTGTTACGGTAGATTCTCAAGAAAACGAATCTTCAACTACATGTAGGTTTATTACCCTTCAACTTCGATGTCTTTCTCCCCCTCGCATTGGTTTTATTACCCTTCGCGATAAGATTAAATTGAAGTTAGTTTACCATGAAAACATACAATAGTCAATGAACATTGTATTTGATATCATTCTTTTTGGTTTTCAATTGCTTCACATTTATTACCCTTTAATGGTGTCTCTCTCCCCCTCCCCAGTTTTATAATTGCCAACATCTTACTATATATAGATTTCTATAAATATGATCCCATGGATACCAACACAACAAAAAAAAAATTCATTATAACTAAACAAAATCTTTATTTTATGAAAATAATACATGTTTCATGCATTTAAATTGTTTGCAACCAAAATTTTTCATGGTTTGACAAACAAATTGCCTTGATTCCCCGTGAAACCACGCTCCAACATGCAAATAAGACATACACAGATAACATCATCAGCGTAAAAGATCGAGCTCTCAAACAAGTCAAGTAAATTCTTAAAATATAAGAGATCAGTAGCATTTTTGTCGGGGAAGCCCCACGTCTTAAACCGGAAAATACCATTCTCATCCATCCGTGTAACACTACCAAACTATAGATCGGATATAAGACAAAACTATTCACATCCATGACGCAGCTTATATCATCTAGTTTGAAAACACAACCTATCATCATCATTTTCAAGATTGATTATTGAAATCAACATTGTATGGATGAGAAGATGGTCCTTATTCGTATTACGTAACTCCAACCTTAACCAAAAACATGAATTTCTAAACAGTGTCATTCAAGCTAGAGTAAGAGAACCTCTCCCTTATTTCAGTCATAAAGCTCCAACTTTCTCGTCAATACTCGATAGGGTTGGGTAATAGTCCTAGATCAAATGCTATTTTAGACAATGTTATCAAATCACACGCAAAAATACAATTACAAATTCGCACACATACAGTTAGTACAATGTCAATGTGGATAATTTAAAGCTTTCGTGCATGGTTAGTGGATGGTGGTGAAGGTCTTGTGGACATATATGTACCATTCCCGAGAGTTTCATCGTTGAGTTGGTGACGATTCCCTTTAAACTACTTGCAATTTCGTTCAAGGAAATGATAGTATATGATTATCAAATCCAAGTAACTAAACAAAATTACGTAAAACGTTAAAACCCACTTACCTGAGTGTTCTTATAGAAAAAAAAAGGTTGATTGATTACTTACTTGCATCATGTTTTTTCAATAGAGGATACACATTAACAAAGAAAAACGATGATCTTTGCTTCTTTTCTATAGTAAAAGAACTGGCAGACGGAAATGAACTTTTGAAAAGTGGGGACATGAGAGACCTTTTATTTTAGCTCGAGGGTTAGCAAATTCTTTTTTGCGGACCTCATGGTCATTTTAAAGATCATAAAATGGTGGTTACCCCAAAATATACATTTGAAATATATGGTCATCTTTATAAATAAATCAAATAAAAATGGAATTTATATTTATTGATTTTTTAATTCTACTATGAGATATTTTATTACTTTGGATGTTTTATCAATTAATTCATGAAAAAACTCAAACAACAAATTATTTGATTATATAATCTCAAACAGACACACAGCTGTTACAATTCAACATTTTATACAATACAAAAGCAAATGTATTTTAGTTATAAGATATATCTGTTCCCCATAATTTTCTAAAAAACTCATCCATAACATTTGGCTAAAAATTCATAAAAACAAATATATCATGCTGAATCATAATCCATTTCAGCTATAGGCCTTAAATCATATCATGATCCATTGCCTAAAAGATCATATGATGGTTAATAATATAGATTAGACGGCCTAAAAAAAACGAACTATAAATCAAATCATTACAATAAATGCATAAATGTTGAGTTGCTATATTACATCCATCAAAATAACCAAAAAAAATAAAAAATCATATTACACAGATATAATGTCCGTATACAAATGTGGTGTACATCTATCTACAAAGCTGACTACAAAGACCACGTAATTGAGACGTATTCGGATCTGTCAATGTGTATGTACCATTTTTACCGCTGTCGGAGCACGTCAATGTATACTGGTTATCCGTTTGCTCAGACTGTCATAACATAACATCTCTCAGTTAGCTTTTATCACTTAATACAGAAAGAACGACTTAACAGTTAATACACAAGAAACTCACCACACATGACACGGCCGATGTGTCACAGCTCCACCTAGACGTAGGTACACAACTCATGTAATGGCACCAAGAACAATGGTCATTCAAGTTCACTCCACGAAGAAGTGCAACAAGCCCCACAATCATCCTGTTTAATTTATTATTATTTTAATTATCTGTTGTAAATGTAATCAATCATCATATTTAATAAATACATGTATTTTCTTACCCAGTGACCACAAGGATCAATGAAAGGACCCACAGAACTCGCTGATATGTCTTGTATTTGGGCTTATTGGCTCCAGCCCTAGAATAAGGTGGGGCGTATCTTTGGCTAACCCATCCGAATTGAGGGCGCATCAAGAACACAAACCCTAGAAGAAAACCAGATGAAAACCCACCAAGATGAGCAAAGTTATCGACATGTGGCAGAATCCCAACCGCTAGATTGATTGCAATAATGATCACAAGCGTCACTAATGCTGCCAACTGACCATAAACATATATAGAAAGAAATGGGTTAAGTTGATTGAATACAAATGAAATAAGAAGATTTGGCTAATAAGTACCTTGTTGGCATATATAGTCCAATTGGTTATGAGTTCTGATAGCATTGCACCTAGCAACCCAAAAACTGCACCAGAAGCACCAACTGATATGTTGGATTGAAGGAAAAGAGCAGACAATAAACTGCCACCAAATCCAGATATGATATAGAGCAACCCAATGCGTACTGCAAATAAAGAAGCAAAAGGTGTGTTAGTATTTATGTATGCAATTGCACATTGTGACATTGAAATAAGTTGTGAAAGTTGAAGTTGATGTACTTACTGAATCCAAATTCTTGCTCCAGTCGAATGCCAATAACTAAGAGACTCAGCATGTTTGCTAATAAATGGAGAAGTCCACCGTGTAACCAAATGCAAGTAATGAGGCGCCACCCCTGGTGATCATCAACTACTTTATTCACATCCAAAGCCCCCATCTTCTCTAGCCTAAGAAACACAAGTTGCAACTGTCAATTTTATGTTTTCTCGAGAAAAAAATGTTTTGTACACAGCTTATTTTGATTGTCATGCGTATAAGTCTGGTTTTGTGGCTTTGGGAGAAATGAAATGAATCAAGAAAAAGAAGGTGATTACTGATTAACAGTCTAGTTTTGTGGCTTTGAAACTGAAAACGGGTATTTGTTTTCTATATAAAGGGAAATCTATAATAGGGTAAGTCTTCAACCTCGAATTGAATGCGGATGAAGTAAATCATATCCTATTCTCAATATTTGAGTCTAATTTATCAAAACCATCCACAGATTCAACTGCTCTTGGTCGCAGATTCTCTAGATTTTTCTTCGTTACAGCTTAGAAGAAGATCAGCATAATATTCAATCAAAATCATGTAAATCATTGATTGAATACTAAATTATCTAGTGTAGTTAACTAAGTTTGGAAATGGAACATCAATTAGGATCGAATAAGTGGGAGATTGCGTCTATTATCTATCAATTGCGATATTAGGAAGAGAGATTTAGAGATTTACGCCGAAGAAGAAGGACCGAGGAGGGGATTCTCTTTGAATGGCTGAAAGGAAAACCTCCCCAAGAAGGTAGCGACGCAAGTAACCGAGTTTTTGGGGCAATTGTTGACATACATCGTGATTATAAACATGACGACATCTGCTATAACAAAACTAGGAATCAACCATGGGAACCACTTCTTAAAATGCTTAATCTCCCGGAAAGGAGATGGGGTTTGACTTTGATATCCGGCGCGTTGTGCCGCCAGCAGAGGTGTCGGTGATGACTCAACTTCAACAGGATGAATTACATTTCCAACGCCGAGACCGCGCCTAGAATTGACCTTGAGTTGGATCTCCGGCCGATGGGTTTCCGCCATTTTGCCGGAAAAGGAAATTGGATTCTGAAATGAGGAAGTTCGTACAATGGGAAGAAGAATCTCTACCTAAGTTTGTAAAATTTAAGAGAGAGAGTGTGAAAGGGGTGGGGGTTGACAATAGGAAGATAAATTTTCAATAAACCCCCTAATGTTTGGTGTTTACTCGTTGTTAACCCATTTAAGTCGATGTTGTCTCGATAGTCACTAAACATTAAACAATCTCGATTGAAGGGACAAAAATAAGAAAACGGTTTTTATGTAGTTTACTTAGACTAGTGGTTTCATATCATATTTCACCAAACTGTTTTTTTCATTGCCATATTATTTTTCTTCCAATCCATGGGTACCATACCATATTATTTTTAATGGAACAAAATATAATTATATAAAATTAATAAAAAATACTTTATTAGTTCAATTTAAAACGATTATATAGCTAAAAAACGACAATTAAATTAAAACAATACATAATAGTATGGAGCTCCACAAACTTGGAACTCCCTGAATGTCATCGTGCGCGCCCCTATCATGACCGTCATCTCGGTGCGGAATGCACCCAACCTCTCATTAAGAATCTCCAGAATGCCCTCATTGACCGTACCGAAGATCACAGGAGTCTGGTCCAATATACTATGCGTGATCTCAGATGAAATGAACTCCCTCATCTGATCATCGAGTTGCCCGGCTCCAGAGCTCGAGCCTGATCCCTCACTGGTGCCAGAGCTGCAAACTGGTCTAGCGCGTAGCGTCACCATACTGAAAATACACCATAACAAACATCTGAATATTCATCATAACTCGAGGGATCACACACACTACAAGTTCCCTGGATTCATCTCAACTCTCCTTGACTCGAGTACGGATCCTCTGTTTTCAGTAATACGTCATACTACCTTCCACATCTATCCATACTTTCCTCAAGAATTGTCTTGACTCCACCAAGTCCCTTTCACTACTACTGCTGCTCTTCTCGCTAATCTCATCCTAGGCTTGCCCTAGGGTAATCTCCGACCCACTCTCCGCCACCAGCTGCATAAGAAGTCCCTGCTATCTCCCCCGTAACTAGCTCGCAAATACCATTACATATTACTAAGACTAGATTATTCTTCGAATGAGAGGTCCCTCCCTACAACGGTTGGACTCAAACACGAGCTGCGAAATAAGGGTAAATCTAACCTTCTGAAATTATTTAGTCCTCGTAATATGTAACTTAGCGTATTTGTTTACTAGTTAGTTAAGGATAGCTAGAACTCCTAAAAGCACAAAGCAAGCAGCATTCGAGCATTAAGTAATCAAAACCAAACATATCCTAATCAGGTCATCATATCACTGACTAATCAGTACTAACATGCAGTTCAATAAGCTCATACAGTAGGCATACAAGGCATCCTTCGTAGATCCTTAGCCCTAATATAGCATACAGTTCTCATACACATATAACAGGCATACAAGGCATCATTCCTAGATCCTTAGCCCTAATCTAGCATGCAGTTCTCATAATCATATCATATCATAACAAACATGTATGGGTAATTTGGGAGAACTTACTTAAGCTCGGCTGATTGTATGCACCACACCCTTTTCTCTTTTCAAAATCCTTTTTATAAAAATGGTTTTCTTTTGAAAATCTTTATACCAAGTCCTCAGTTTGAGTTCAAACACACCCGAGAGTGTGCCCCAATCGCTCAAACCAAGGTTCTGATACCAACTTGTAACATTCCAAAATTCAAGACCAAAAATTTTATTTTTAAATTATTAAATAAAACCATAGTTATCAAAATCTTCTCATCAAAATATTAAATCATAGTATCTCAAACATCATATCAAAAACACATGTCAATTTATCAGAGTAAAACATCCCAGGCTAAACATAATGGTGTGTGCACTGCAGTCACCCGAGCTATTCCATTTGCTACCGGAAGTACCTGAGACCAAAACTGAAAACTATAAGCATGAAGCTTAGTGAGTCTCCCCAAACTACCACATACCATACACACAATCATATAATCACATAATAACATAACATGGGCCCCGCCCGCTTCATCGGTCCCCGCCCGGCAACGGACAATGTTCGGCATCAGGCCCCGCCCGTCGTCGAGCAAAGCTCGGTATATATAAACATATCCGTTGGATTAGGTGTCTAAGCCCATAACTATAATTGGTATGTACTTGAATTGATAGCAGCACAGTCCTTT